CTATCTATCTATCTATCTATCTATCTATCTATCTATCTATCTATCTAGCTTGGTAAGTAGGTAGGTAGGTAGGTGTGTGTGTGTGTTGGGGGGGGGGGGGGGGTAAACTGGACATCCCTATCACTAGAGGAAACTATGCTACCTAGTTTTTATTGTGCTTGCAAGTATATTTTCCTTAAATGATTGGCGTGGCCCTTGGGGTGGCCAAAGGTGTGTCCATAGTGATCAAGGTCCCTTTTGGCCACCCTCTGGTGCTGCCATTGTGCCTTGTGGTGGATAAAATTGCTTCCTCCACTTGCCAGGATCAGTGACCCTGTTCTGCTTTGGACAAAGCAAAAAAAAAAAAAAAACTTTCTTTATTCCTAAACAGTACACAGTGTTACTCATGGGTAGCCATGTGAATATCTTGAACCAAAAGTGTAAAGTTTACTTGCAATTTCGGACCAGAAAAACAATTATCTTGAAAACGATTAACCTTCACTATTCAAATCCCTCATTGACTAGGAACATCGGCGGAACGCTTGTGACTCAGGTGTTTCACAGGAGACTGTTACCACAGGTGTTAAGATCCTATGATGGTTAGATTGCTCACTGTTGTGTCTTGTTTGCCAAAACCTGTGGCTTCTGAAGGTAATGGTTGAGGCTTTAAAGCAAAGATGCCGAATGGAGTGCATGCATCCCATAATTTATTTTAATCCAATTTAATATCCAATTAAATTTCAGATTGTAAGGCAGCATACAAAAACAATTACCAAGAGGATGAATTCTGTTTAAACTACTATGATCACATTAACATTTCAGTTTTTCCTCTCTTTGACATCACCTACTGAACAGGACTATCCTTGGAGGCCACACGGACACCAGCATCGATCTGTTGGACCCCATCAGTGACCGGTTCTACAAGGAAGTGTGGATGACTACATCTGGACGCAATGCTACTATTTATGAAAAGGTAGAGTGCATTTTTAGATTTATTAGGTGGGTTTATATTGACTTTAGTTCGTCTGAATCGAGATTGGAAATCATTTTGACAAGAAACTGTTTAAACGCATGCGGCAAAATTAGTCTTTTTGTGTGTGATATTGTCCAAACATTAATGTTTAGTCAGAAATTAAACAAACTGATCTCTCTATGTATATATTATTTTTAAAGTCATCTAGTGTTCCTTACCAATAAAGAAAAATAATCATTCTTATATATTGTTTTTATTGTCTCTAATCACTGAGTGTAAAGGGGGAATTGGAAATATCCTCTGTCCATCTGTGAATTTTGTAAACATGATAACTTGAAAATAAGTGAGCTACCAACTTCTATTTTGGTGTGTGACTGCATCTAGATGTAAAACAGGTCCCTGTCAAAATGTTGTTTCTAAGTCACAATTGAAGATGGCTCCTACCATACATTTGTGAACTGGCCACCCCTATCATTTGAACAAACTATCCTTTCTAGCTTTTATATTACTTAAAAATATAGTTTCCTCAAATAATTGAGATGGTCCTTAGGGTGGCCGAAGATTAACGGAGGCCAAGGCCACCATTGGCCACCCTCTAGCTCCATCATTGGGCCTGGTGGTGGATAAAATTGCTTCCTCAACTTGCAAGGATCTGTTACCTTGACGAAGTAAAAAAACAAAAAAACAAAACTGCCTCATTTCAAAGTCTACAGACATTCACTATTCAACTTATTCAGCGACTAGAGATATTGGAGTACCACTTTGTACTACTAATTTTTAGAACTTTTTTTGGATGCTAAAAAGATGAGGAATTTGTCTGTGATGTTATCTTAATTATCGGGGACTGCCTGAAAACAACTACTTATGTGAACCAGGTAAACTTGCTCACTGAGAGGCAGCCGCTCTACCAACTGCACCACCATGCTGCCCCACTTAATTCTTGTTTAACAAATTACATATACATGCAAAATATCGTGGAGGGGGTGGGATGTCTTTTATAATCCATCCATTTTTTTCATTTTCACACTAAATATTGATCCATGTCAGAACCAACACACATATGACAAAAAACAATATTTGTATATGTGTTTTGTTGCAGGTGTTCCGTTGCCTTCCCTGTTCTCTGGTGAGAAACATGTCTGAGCTGGAGCAATTCCAGTCAAAGCCTGGTTTGGCCCAGACCGATGTGGCCCGCGCTCAGGAGGAACTGCGCAAGATCAGAGGGTTCCTTGTCCAGTTTCCTCTAGACTTCCTGTCTGAGCATAACCTGATGCCCTCTGTTGGAACCAAGGAGGCCATGGTCCCAACTGAGATCTGGACTTAAATGGCTTGAATTCCCTATGGTTTGAAATATAATAAAAGCAGAGACAAGAGTCAAATTTGCTACCTTCTAGTTTTAAAGACAGAGAGCCAGTGATAAATCTCTCAAATTTCCCTATACTGAAGAACACTACAAAGCAAAACGCTGTAATTGGGGACTTCCTCACGGCAGCCTCCTACCATATTATTATCCACCTGAAAAGGGTCTTACTCTTCTATCAACGTTAATGTGGCCTGAACCACGAAGTGTACCCCCACAAATGTTATATCAAAACAACCGGCTCTGCACTGTGATGTGTGCTGTTGCTATTACTGACGCTCCGAGTTACCATGGCGACATAATTTGCAAACAAAGACGCCATTTTTCTAATTGAAAAAGCCTGACGGATCTCTTCACAGCTTCTAACTGCCACAGTGAGGTCACATGGCAGAGTCAAGAGGTCCCTGAACAAAACTCAGTATGTCATCGAACAAACTCTTCCTAACACCACATCTTTTAAGATACATATTATAAATCAAAACGTATAAATTTTTGTTGTCTTTCCACTAGTATTTCTTGTTTTGGCTGTAGGAGTTGTATTTTTTTCGTGAGGTGCTTCAGAAAGCAGGAAACAACCATTTATACATTGTGAGAAGTGTTAATAACTCATCATTTTTCTGACATACATTGCTGTAAAATGTAATATCAAATATCCAAGATGGCTGCCTTAGCTGAAAGGGAAAACATTTAACTCAGCTATTATAAAAGATATTGAGCTGAAATTTGGTGTGGTTGTAGCTGAGAACGCCTCCATCACATTCTGAAGCCAAATCAAAATTCCAACATGGCCAACTTAGCTTAAAAAAGATAAATGACTATAACTCTTTGATTCGTCATCATATTGAGCTGCAATTTGGTATGGTAGTAGCTCAGAGTGAACCCCAACACATAGTACTGTCAAACATTTTAAATGATCGCAAAGTGGCAGTCCCTGTCAAAGCTTCTCCAGGAAATTTCTAGTTTAAACTTGATGTACAGTACGAAGCACAACAACAGTAACAACAACAAAACTGCTTTAATAAGTGCTTACTCACTGCATTAAAACTGAAAGAAACTGTTGGTTTTAGACACTCGGGTGAAGAGAGGAGCTGAGCTGTCAACTGATCACTACCTAGTAGTGAGTTGGGTCAGATGGTGGGGGAACATGCTGGACAGACACCACAGACCCAAACGTGTAGTGAAGATTTGCTGGGAACGCCTGGCAGAAGAACCCATCAAAATCGATCTTCAACTCACACCTCTGGGAGAGCTTTAACCACATCCCAGCTGAGACAGGGACATTGAGACTGAGTGGGCCATGTTCTGTGCCTCAGTTGTTGAAGTTGCCTTGAGCTGTGGACACAAAGTTCTCTGGGCTTCTCGTGGTGGTCATCCTCAAACTCAGTGGTGGACACCCTGGGTTAGGGAGAATGTCAAGCTGAAGAAAGAGTCCTATCGGGTCTTGTTGGCTGGTGGGACTCTGGAGGCAGCTGAGGAGTATCGGAGGGCCAAGTGGTCTGTAGCCTTGGCTGTTGCTGAGGCAAAATCTCGAATGTGGGAGGAGTTCGGTGAGTCCTTGAATAGAGACTCTCAGCTGGCTACGAGGAGATTCTGGCAAACCAACAGGCGGCTGAGGAGGGGAAAGCAGGTCTTTGCAAACACTGTGTTCAGTGAAGGTGGGATGCTGTTGACCTCAACCAGTGATGTCATCGGGAGGTCAAAGGAATACTTCTTGGACCTTTTCAATCCCACCGGCACATCTTCCATGGAGGAAGCTGAATCGGGGGGATTTCAAGGTTGGTCTGTTCATAACCGTGGCTGAGATCACTGTGGTAGTTAAAAAGCTCTGCGGCCACATGGCTCTGGAGATAGATGAGGTTCACCCTGATTTCCTTAAAGCTCTGGATGTTGTTTGGCTGTCTTGGTTGACATGCATTTGCAACGTTGCATGGACATTGGGGACAGTGCCACTGGACTGGCAGACTGAGGTGGTGGTCCCCCTCTTCAAAAGGGGGACCAGAGTGTGTGTTCCAGTTATAGGGGCATAACTCTCCTCAGCCTCCCTGGTAAGGTCTATTCAGGGTACTGGAGAAGTGAGTCCGATCGTTGCTCCAACCTTGGATCCAGGTGGAACAATGTGGGTTCTGTCCAGGTTATGGAAAACTGGATCAGCTCTTTACCTTCACTAGTGTCTTCAAGGGGTCATGGGAGTTTGCCTATCCACTCTGGATGTGCTTTGTGGACTTGGAAAAGGCCTTCAACCATGTTCCTCAGGGTACACTGTGGGGAGTGCTCCATAAGTATGGGATTGGGAGCCTGTTTCTATGGGCTGTTCAGTCCTTATACAAGTGGTGCGAGAGTTTGGTTCGCATTGCTGGTAGTAAGTCGAACCCCTTCAGGGTGGGAGTTGGACCCTGCCAGGGCTGCCCGTTGTCACCAATTCTGTTCATAACTTTTATGGACAGAATTTTTTTTTGTGCAGCTAGGGGGCAGAGTGATTCCGGTTCGGTGGCCTCAGGAATCTATCTCTGCTCTTTGAAGATGATGTGGTCCTGTTGGCGTCATCGTGCCGTGATCTCCAGCGCTCACAGGAGCAGTTCACAACCAAGTGTGAAGCGGCTGGGATGAGATTCAGCACCTCGAAATCTCAGGCCATGGTCCTCAGTTGGAAAAGGGTGGATTACTCTCTTCAGGTCGAGGGTGAGGTTCTGCCTCAAGTGGAGGAGTTCAAGTATCTTGGTGTTTTATTCACGAGTAAGGGAAGAATAGAACATGAGATTGACAGAGTGATTGGTGCAGCATCTGTAGTATTGCAGACTCTGTACCGGTCCGTTGTGCTGAAGAGAGAGCTGAGCTGTAAGGTAAAACTTTCTGTTTTCAGTCTACATTCCTACTCTCACCTATGGTCACAAACTCTGGGTAGTGACCGAAAGAATAAGATTGCAGACACAGACAGCTGAAATTACTTTCCTCCACAGGGTAGCTAGGCTCCCCTAGAGATAGGGGGAGAAGTTCAATTATGCGGAAGAGACTCAGAGTAGAACTTCTGCTCTGAGTCTTCTGCTCCATGATTCAGTCAAAACAAAAAACATGATTCAGTCATCTGGTAAGAATGCTTCCTGGGCACCTCCCTCGATGCTTCGGGCATGTCCAACTGGGATAAGATCCCAGGGAAGACCAGGATACACTGGAGAGACTACGTCTCTTGGTTGGCCTGGTAATGCCTTGGAGTCCTCCCAGAAATGCTGGAAGAGGTGGCTGTGGAAAGAGATGTCTGGGCCTCCCTGCTCAAGCTGCTGCTCCCAAGACCCGACTTCAGAACAAGCGGAAGATAATGTATGGATAGAAACTGTTTGTTCTGGGAATCAATTTCAAGCCTGGATGCTCAATTTGAACTGATCACAGCAGATGTTTTTAAGGGACCATGAGGAGGTAGTAAAAACATTTTGATGATGCTAATAAATTGTCAGTTATCAACCAAGAAAAAGAAAAAAATTCATATATGGGAATGCTTTTGAGTCATTAAATTTGTAGATTTGGTAATGCTTTGTGAAGAGACGTTGAGCCCTCAAATGTTAATCTTTTTACAACATCTCTGTGTTTGATGGTCATTATCTTAGTTTTTTTTTAATTCTGAAATGGCACATGATCATTAAACTGTATTATTAAAAAAAGCCATACAACTTGTACAAAGAGAACACTTGGTGTACATTTTGTCAGGTGCAATCAAAAAACACACCTCAGTTTGAAATTAAAGGAAGGTTCAAATCAAAGTACAAGTGGCTAAATATGATAATCAGGATGTACATTTATTTTTTGCTCAGCAGATGGAGCAACCTGCTTGAGAAAAAAAATGCACATACATTTAACAGCAATGATTGCTAACAATATTTTCCAAAGGGCCATTTTTGTTATGGCTAGTTGTCAAAGGCAAAAAAAAAAGCACAAATAAATAAATAAATAAAACTTTGAAAACACAAACATAACTTTAATTCAAACAATTTTACAAATATTCGTCTAAAACTTGGTGCAATATAGCTAACAGTGATTCACATTTTTCAACAGTGCATGAGATCATGACATCAGGGGCCAGAATGGTGCAGTCAAAGGCCCTCAGACTGGAGCTTGCAGGTGTGTAGTATACATATCCTGATGCATGCTCAATAATCCAGGTAGAAAAATCCAAAAAAGTTCAATCTGGTCCTCTGGACATTCAAAAAAAACAAAAAAAAAACTAAGCAAAAAAAATATAGAAACGTTTCGTCTCTCATCCAAGAGACTTCCTCAGTCTGAGGTGCTGTTTTCAGCTCAGTCTCTTAAATAGCACCTTCTCAGAGTGGATCAACCAGTTTGCTGCTGACAAACAAAACCAGCTGCTCACATGGTCAAGAAGGACCATCAGCCTAACAATGGTTGGCATTTAGTTGGCAGCTCAGAACACCACATACAGAACACCATGGACTTTGTGGACAAGGTGAGGGATGTCATCATGGAGATTGATGAAACAATGGTCTCTTTTGATGTCACATCACTCTTTATGTGCATTCCTGTTGATGATGCAGTAGAGGTGGTCAGTTTAAGATTAAAATCAGACACCACTCTGAGCAGCAGGACCACGCTTTCCACAGAACAACTGTGTCAACTCTTGAAACTGTGCCTGCAGTCAACCTACTTCACATATGGGGAGCAATATTATAGGCAGAAACAAGGGTGTGCTATGGGGTCTCCAGGTTTTCCTATTGTTGCCAAACTGTACATGGAGGAGGTAGAAAAGAGAGCCTTGACGTCCTTTTCAGGGACACCACCAAGTCATTGGTTTAGGTATGTTGACGACACCTGGGTTAAAATTAAATCTCAGGAAGTCCAACATTTTACTGACCACATCAACACTGTGGATAAATGCAACAAGTTCCCACTAGAAGATGTAAAAAATGGCAAGTTGGCTTTCTTGGACTGTGAGGTCTCAGTCTCTGATAGAGGACATTTGCAAACCGAGCTGTACCGCAAACCCACCCACACAGACCAGTATTTGCAGTATGACTCCCATCACCCATTGGAGCACAAGTTATGAGTCATCAGGACTCTGTATCACAGAGCAGACAGCATCCCCACTAACTCAGGAGACAGACAGAAGGAGAAATCCTACACAAAACAATGTGGATGTGGATGTGTGTAGAGCAATGTGGATATCCTAACTGGGCCTTCCTGAAAGCAGAGAAGAAACCCAAACAGGACTCCAGTCAGCCATCAGGTGAAAAGGAGGAACCCAGACCCAGACCAGTGGTCATTCCGTATGTTGAGGGAGTATCAGAGAAACTGAGATGTTTATTTTCTAAACATAACGTCCCAGTGACTTTTAAACCCCAAAATACATTACGGCAAAGACTGGTTCATCCCAAAGATCCAGTCCCCCGGCACAAACAGAGTAATATTGTGTATGCTGTTCAGTGTCACGAGGGCTGTGATCAGTCTTACATCGGGGAAACTAAACAGCCACTGGCCAAAAGGATGGCCCAGCACAGA